AGACCTATTTGAGATCTTCTATCATTAGAAGACCTCAGGAGGTCTCCTGAAAACCTCTGAAAAAAGGGTATTTTAGCTCTGATAGTCCTTATAAAAATATTTAAGTTTAATTTTAAAGTTGGTGTTAAATTTTACAATCAGAATTGTGGGAGCTCTTCAAAACATAAAGACAAACGTGTAGAGCCTCAACTAGCAGATTGAGTCTTATTGAAAAAATAGTATAGTTTTAGAGGGAACAGTAGGAGTTTATATTTAAAAAATAATGTTTTCTTTGCGGGGAAGCTGAAAAGCTTAGTTTTAACTTAAGGGAACCCCACCCATTCTCGATTTTAATTTTTCAAGATTTTCAATGGGCTGGTAAATCAATACCAATGCTTGTTAAGGTTTGTAACTTTGCACATATATAATTGAAGATTTAAAAGAGAAGAAAAATAATTTACAAAAAAATTTTGTTATTGTTTTGTTGTTGTTTTTTGTAATTAAAGAAAAGCCCTTATTTTTGACGGCGGGCATGATAACTCCTCACTGGAACATCGGAATCCGAAAATTCCAACGGTGTTAGAAAGAGTACATGTCTGGCTCTCGTATGAACTACGATTATTGACTTCGCTCTAAAATTAACAAAATGGTGGACCTTTGAAAAAATATTTTTGGAAAATCGCCGATTTTTTACCAAACCCCAAGTTAAAAAATAAGGAAGATCTTCACCGATTGGCTTTATACTAGTTCATACGAGAGCTATACACTCCCAGAGAAACGTTGAAAAATTTGGAACCGATTGGATTATTAGTTTTTTAGTTATCGTGCCCGCCATTCACAAAAAAATGTTTAGAGAAAAACGCTTTTTAAGTTTGAGAATCCCTTCAGCAGTCACTTGATGCTGACACAATAAATCGGCTATATCTTCAAGAGTTCTTGAGATTTTCACTTGAAATTTTGTAGGGACATCCATTAATTAGTGTAGATTCGAATAATAACAACAAAATTTTTGACCCCGAGAATGGGGGGGTCCCCTTAAGGATCCTTTTTTTTGGAAAAATATTTTTTTAACACAAGCTGCGCATCTTAAAATAAAGCTACAGAGTTTTTTTTTTGAGGAATTTTTCGGTATTGAAAAATTAGGTTAATGTAGGGTCGTTAGTTCCAAGTGGTAAATCACAATATGTTTTTAAGAAATTTTCGTAGCTATTCGAAGAACAAACAAGATAACACCAAACAAAGCAAAATCGTTTAAATTGGTCTCCGATTTTTTTAAGTTGTAAGCCCCGCTCGCATGACTAGCAATAACTTTCAACTATAGTAAAAAATTTTTGTGGATTATTTTTTTTTTATTTTTATTTTTTTATTTTTATTTTTTTATTTATTTTTTTTTTTTTTTTTTTTGAATTGAAAAATTGTGAGGTTCTGACGATATTTTTATTTCCATTTTTTTTATAAATAATTTATTAATATGTGAGGAGAAAAATTTTTACGATAGTAAAGATCTCAAAGAATTTTTAAATATTCATTCAATAATAATATTTTCAGTCTTTGGAAAATATTTTTAATAGAAAAATTCTTCGCATACTGGGAACAACTTTTTTGTATGAGGGCTATTATATCCAATTAAAGAAACTTTAGATTCTGAAATGTGGCCAAATTCCACAAAGCTGATGAATTGAAAAAACATTATATAGAAATAAAAAAGGCTGAAGTTCTGAGAATTTATTTTTTTATATTCCAAAGGATTCCAAAAGAAAAAATGAATTGAAATGACACTAGGGAAACTAATACAAATATTCTGAGAAGGCAATGGGTATCGTTGCCGTGACTACATACAAACAAAAAACACAGCATTCCCTCTGAAATTCTGATTCAGATTTGTATAACCAAAATATAAAATTTATCTTATGTGTGTTAGACCACCCGGAAATAATACCTTACATTTGCTACCAGGACACTACACTTTCCTCAATATGTTTCGATTTCCAATTTTTTATTCCCTAAAAATTTATTAACTTAAAAAGGAATCTCCAAAAATTTCAAACTTTTTATTTATGAATAATTTTGCCAAAAACCATTAAAATCACTTCGGAAGCATTTCCCCAAAAACTTTTTCCCCTATTAGACAAAAACAAAAAATTCATTTATTATGAAATAACTCTTGACATAAATCACCATTAAATTGTTTTCAAATAAAGAAAGAACTTCAAGTCTGGCGGCAAGTGTACTAAAGCCAGGCAACAACCAATATAACGAACCGGTTCCAAGCATTTTCCTTCTAAATAGCAGACAAGAAAAAAAATCTTGGAAAATCTTCAAGAAAAGCGAAAAGTTAAGAGTAAGAGTTATGCAAGAAAAAGGCAAAAACAACAAAGACAAAAAATCATAAAAATTAAAAAAACTTCTTTAGAAGTTTCTTAATAACAGAAGAAAAACAAATTGGCAAATTCTAATGGAAAGGAGAGGAAGCTACAACAAAAAAAAGACGTAGAGGCAGAAAAATACTGAAAGAAATGAAAATGAAAACCTGAAACTAAAAACCAAAAACTATGTTGTAATAACAACACAACAGCAAGAAAAACTTTTGACTTTGCAATAACACCAACCACAACAGAAGAAGAAGAAGACAACAACAACAAAATAAGGAAACCAGAATGCTGCCATAACACCACCGTCCGGAGAACTTGGATAACTGCATAACACACACAAGTGGCGTCGAGTGAAAACCTCTTCGAAGCAACAGAAGAAATCTATACTCCACACTTGACGAACAACGTATGTGTGTGTGTGGAAGCTCAAGAAGAAGACAGACACAATGCCAGCAAGTTCTTTGTCGGGGTGTAGAGGCAGTCGACTGAACCAGACGACACCGCCAAAAGGAAATGAACAAGTTTTTTGGTAACCGGAAAATATAAACAATTTGAAGCTGTTAACATGCTGGCTGACTGGCAGGGTAGCCTAGGCCAGGCTAAGGCGGTAAATGTATGGCAAGTTAGAGGGGCATATTGGCACACAAACACAACAGGTGTGAATGTGTTGAAAAGTCTTAGATTACAACCAGAGAACAGTGAGAGCCTGGATAAAAAAAATCTTCAGGTCCTACGAAGGATAATTTTTTCTACAGAAGAAAATTCCTCTATTGAAAAAAATTCCTCAGGTCCGGCTGATGCTTTTTTTATAGAAAAAAATACCTCTGAAGTCTACTGTTTTCCTATAGAAAAAAATTCCTCAGATGCCTCTGAGGATTGCTTTTTCTATAGAAAAATATTCCTCAGATACCTCTGAGGACTGATTTTCTATAGAAAAGAAATTCCTCAGATACCTCTGATCATTGCTTTTTCTATAGAAGAAATTCCTCAGATACCTCTGAGGATTGCTTTTTCTATAAAAAATATTCCTCAGACACCTCTGAGGATTGCGTTTTCTAATTCCTCAAATACCTCTGAGGATTGCTTTTTCCATAGAAAAAAAAATCCTCAGATACCTCTGAGGATTACATTTTTTCTATAGAAAAAAATTCCTCAGATACCTCTGAGGATTACATTTTTGCTATAGAAAAAAATTCCTCAGATACTTCTGAGGATTAAATTTTTTCTATAGAAAAAAATTCCTCAGATACCTCTGAGGATTGCTTTTTCTATAGAAAAATATTCCTCAGATACCTCTGAAGATTGCTTTTTCTATAGAAAAATATTCCTCAGATACCTCTGAGGATTGCTTCTTCTATAGAAAAATATTCCTCAGATACCCCTGAGGATAGCTTTTTCAAAAGAAAAATATTCCTCAGATACCTCCGAGGATTGCTTTTTCTATAGAAAAATATTCCTCAGATACCTCCGAGGATTGCTTTTTCTATAGAAAAATATTCCTCAGGACCCCTGAGGTCTGTTTTTCTATGGAAAAAAATCCTCAGAACACTTGAGGTCTGTTTTTCTATAGAAAAAAATTCCTCAGGACACCTGAGGTCTGCCCAATAGGTCTGTTTTTCTATAGAAAAAAATCTTCATGTACCAATAGGTCAGTTTTTTGAATAAAAATATGCCTCTAGGGTCTTGAGAAATTTTCTCCCACTGTGTTTATTTAATTGTCTCCCGGAATCGGTGTTTGCAATGGCAACCATAATCAAGTCAATATGCCTCCTCCCTAGTGTTGAAGTTATGTGATGATTGTTATTGTCGTCTAGTTTTTGTTGTTGTTATTGTTGGTTTTTGCGGCACAAAAGCCGGTTGGCTGGCTGGCTGACTGCCTGCTGAAAACTAAGACGGCATGCAGACACTACCATTGAAACAACCCAAAATAAGCACACACTCAACAACTCCACACCATGCCAGACCAGATCCGACCGACCCGATCAACTGGGAAAGGAGAAGTTGAAGAAAAACGCAAATGGAAACCTTGAAGAAACCAGTTCGCCAGTTCTAATGTCAATGCCATTACAAACAAGTTGACGGGGATTGTGAAGCATGGCTGGATGCAGGCAGCAGCAGCTGCTGCTGCATCAGCCATCCTCGACGTCACTGCCACCGCCAAAAACCAGCATGGTGTTTGGTGGCTGGTTATTGTTAGCAATTGTGGTTTGTTGCAGCATGCAACACACACTGCAGCTTGTGGTACCAACACACACGTACACTCGTATTAAACAATTACTCAACCAAAATATTCGTCGAAAGATGTTGGGAGATTGGAGGAGAGTCGAGGCACTCCACCACAACATTGTGATTGTTAACAGCAACAACATTTGACATAACCACAAATCAACAAAAACAACAACAACCAACCAGTGACTGATTTTCGTTGTTACCTAACATTGGATGCAATAATCTGCTAGTGATGTGGAAATTGAGAAGAGAACGGGTAATCCGAAATTCAATTGCAAATGAATAGGATTTTAAAATTTGAATTTTTTGGGAAGACTTTTGGTACCCTTAGGTCTTATTATACCCTGGAGGTTGCTTCAGCTAATTTTCCTATTTGGATCCTATCCAAAATTTATTTCAAATCGAATGTTTGGTACTTACTTGAATCCTTTGTCATCGTCAATGCCATTGACAACACCATTCGTTGTGGTCACTTGGTCATCCTTCTTCAGACCATTTGTGTCAAAAGGAGAATTAGCCTTCTCTTTATCGTCGTGAGACTGGAATGAGAACAAAAAAGAAAATAAATGTAATGGAAATTGTAACTCATACTAAAGACCAATAAAAAGACCTCAAACGTCCTGAGGAGTTTTTTCCATGAAAAACTGATATCAGTAGACCTGAGAAATTGTTTTCCACAGAAAAACAGACCTCAGAAGATTTGAGCATTTTTTTTCTATAGAAAAACAGGTCTCAGAGAACCTGAGGAATTTTTTTATAGAAAAACACACTTCAATTGTTTTTATAGAAAACCAGAACTCAGTAGACATGAGAACTTTATATTATAGAAAAACAGACCTCAGGAGATCTGAGTATTTTTTTATATAAAAAACAGACCTCAGGAGACCTGAGGAATTTTTTTTCTATAGAAAAAGAAGACCTCAGGGGTCCTAATGATTTTTTTTTGCAGGGAACCTGACTATTTTTTTATAAAAAAGAAGACCTGAAAATTGTTTTCTATGAAAAACAGACCTCAAGCGACCTAAGGATTTTTTTATAGAAAAACAGGCCTCAAGCGACCAAAGGATTTTTTCTATTGAAAAACAGACCTTAGTTTTTTTTGATTTTTTTTCAACAGAAAGTCAGACCTGAGGAATTTATTTCTATAGAAAATCAGAGCTCAGTAGACCTGAGATTTTTTTAATAGAAAAATACACTGTAGCCCTGATATTTTTTCTATAGAATACTATACTTCAGTAGACCTAAGGAATCTTCTCTATAGAGAACAGACCTCAACGGATTCGAATTTTTTACTATAGCAAAAATTGACCCATGGGTCCTGAGAACTTGTTTCTCCTGAGGAGTATTTTCTATAGAAAAAGCCACCCAAAGTAGACTTGACTTCTTTTTATTTAAACAAGCCCTCACTGAGGTCCGACATTTAAAATACGAAAAAAATATTGAGGCTTTTATGGAGGCTATGCCATGGTAAATTCCAGCCAACAGAAAACGAAGACCTTGAACATACTAAAAATTATGCGTGAGCTTTGTATGGGTCTAGTAGAATCATAAATATATCTAACATATTCCGTAAGAAAGCTGGTTACCCACCCATGTCCTAGACTATCAAAATTACAGCCAACTTCGTAATTATAAAATATAGTCACTTTGGTTGGAAAATACGCATAGGGCCATTAAAATAACATTTAAAAGGCTGAACCTTTATATGGGAGGCTATATCCAAAGATCGACCGATACTTGAAATTTTTGCTAGGAATATCTGTATTCTAATGAAAACCTAAAATATCCGATTACAACCAATTCGATTGAAAACCCTGACTGAAATTCTCAAAATACCGAAAATTAGCGCAATCTTTATATGGGGTCTACATCAGAACTTGGACCGACATTCGTAATTTATAATAGGAAGACTTGCAAAGCAATGGAAATTGAAAATATCAGATTACAGCCGATACATTTGAAAAACGTGTATTCAAAATATCGAATAATGGGGGCTACCCGTTATATGTATGCTACCCTGAAAGTTAGGCCAATATTGCCTCTCCATAGCTGGTCAAATCTTTGGTAAGAAAAATGATTACAATTTTATGTAAAAAAAATCCTTAGGGCTTCTGATGATCATCTTTGTTTTAAAAAATGCTAAAGACCCTTGAGGATTACCGAACATCAGGAACCTAAGGATTACATTATAGTAGTGGAAAACAATTATTTTCTATATAACTGGTACGCCTCAGGACTTGGGGTTACCTTTTTAATTCCCTTCTAAGGTCTTTTGGGGATTACTTTTTTCTATAGATATCCACAGGGCCCATATATAGATATTCTAAGCCCCCTTGAAGACTCCATCTATAGCTAACTTCCTTTCATAGGTTTCAGAGATTTATATAGAAAAAAAATGCTATCTATAATGACTCTCTTCTGCAAAAAAAATAAATCTCGTTTTTATTGAACAAAATTAACTCTGCGTTTAGTGATTACAGAATTACCCTGGTCTGGCTAACTTCCTTCCGTTTCAATTACAATAATTCTCTTCTGGAGGAATTCTACATAAGGGGATAGAAGGTATTTTTATTTATCTCCCCCATTACATGTTTACATGTGGATGCTGGTGCATCGCAGTTTACATAGGGTGTTAACTACAAAATTACTGTCGCTGTCGCCATTTACTTTGTAAGTGGGTTGGTTGATTGGTTCACATTTACAATTGGACAAAATAAAAAAAAGAATTCCGGATAGGAAATAAACCTCTATAGATAAACAGCCATATACAGTCAGAACAATTTTTGTGTAAAGCGAATTTATTCGCCACCACTTCATTAAATGAAAATTACCTCCAACACCACCAACAACATCAACAGCAATAATAAAATAAGTAGATAGATATGCAGAAAAGGGCATTGACAACTAATGAGGTTATCTCTTTAGTGTTTGTTGGGTTAGGGGCAAACAGGTACGAAGTTCCGTTTGGTGGGTCATCGAACGATTGGAAATGCAGTGGGAATTTTATTTAATTTTATACTCGAATTATCTGTGCGGGCTGCACTATTTGGGGTTTAAGCAGTTACTGTAAAAGAAGAAGCAAATATAGGCCTTATAAATATTTATACGAAAATTCGAGGGAAGGTTGCCAAACAGTCCTCTGTGGACCTAAGAATTTTTCTACGGATTTTTTACGGAACCTCTGAAAAAATAATTCTCATTATTTTTTCATTTTTTTTTTTTTTTTGCAATCCTCAAGAGTTCTGAAAAAATATTCGCATTAAAAATTATACCCTCGGGAACCAGATATTTTTTTTTTATAGAAAAATAACTCTCAGGGGACACTTAGGGGGTTATATACACCATGCTACGACGAAAATGTCCCTCATCGACATATCGAAGAGAATAGCCAATTTAATTTATTTATTATTATTATTATTTTTTTTTTTTTTTTTGCTTCAACTCACCTTATCATTATCATCGAACTTCAGTCCTCTTAAGCGTGGTTCCAAACCGGACAAAGGACTCTCTTTGTTCGTTGGTGATCCACCCAAAACATATTCGACCATTTTAACACCCAAACCACTTGTTGAATCACGAGGACTGTAAAGATAATAAAAAACATAAAATAAATTATTAAAATTAGGAAAAAATTAAATAATTTTTTTATAAAATAATTAATAAAATCAATTCTTGAAAGGAATGATTTATTGTAAAAATCTGTAAGGAAAGTAGAAAAGTCAGACTGGGCCGACTATATGATACCCTTCACCACTTTGGGTATATTGTACATATGTATCCTTACAATTGTATGTCAATGTTGCCTCGAAGGAACATACTCATGTCTTTCTGTAACCTATGATAAATTTAATTTCATTCGAGCAGATTTAGAGTCGTCTGCGTATCATGGCAAAAATTTATGGAAAACGATTTATTGCAAAATTTATACACGCTATTCGGTACACCGCACTGTTAAACATTTAATTTCAAAAAGACACCCGTTCGAAATACATTTGGAAGCTATGGCTGCATCAACATTAGGAGTTATGTAAAATCGGACGAATACATATGGATATGTTGGAGCTATATCGAAATCTGAACCGATTTTCACGAAACTTAACACACACCACTCCAGACTTCATTCAGTACGCAATGGCAAATTTCGTGCAAATCGAAAGATATATAGGGACTTTGGTGCACTATTTACATAAAATCGGACGAAAATATATATGGGAGCTATATCTAAAGCTGAACCGATTTTCACGAAACTTAACACACATCATTCTAGACCTAAATCATTAGGCTGTGCCAAATTTCGTACAAATCGAAAGATATATAGGACCTTTGGTGCACTATTTCCTGAAATCGGACGAAAATATATATCTGAGCTATATCTAAATCTGAACCGATTTTCACGAAACTTGACAGACATCACTCTAGACTTAATTTAGTACGTTATGCCAAATTTCATGATATATAGGGACTTTGGTGCACTATTTACCTAAAATCGGACGAAAATATATATGAGAGCTATATCTAAATCTGAACCGATCTTCACGAAATTTAGCACACATCATTTTAGACTCAATTCAGTACGCTATGCCAAATTTCGTGCAAATCGAAAGATATATAGGGACCTTGTGCATTATTTTAATCGGACGAAAATATATATGGGAGCTATATCTAAATCTGAACCGGTTTTCACGAAACTTAACACATATCACTCTAGACTTTATTTAGTACACTATGCCTGCGAATCGAAGGATTTTAAGGGACTTTGTTGCACTATTTAGCTAACATATATGGGAGCTATATCTAAATCTGAACCGATTTTCATGAAACTTAACACACATCACTCTAGACTTAATTTTTTAGGATTTTTTTAAACAGAGTTTTACAATTTTTTGGATTTTTTAAAAAAATATTTTTTCACGGATTAACCGAGGCGTGGATTTTTTTAAAATATTTTTTTCACGGATTAACCGAGGCGTGGATTTTTTTAAAATATTTTTTTCACGGATTAACCGAGGCGTGGATTTTTTTAATATATTTTTTTCACGGATTTTTTTTCAAGGATGATGTGGATTTCTTAAAGAATAAACGAGGCTTGGATGTTTTTAATATTTTCAAAGATTAAACGAGGTGCGGATTTTTTTTAAAGAAATAAACTTTAGAAATATTTAAAATAGAGTGAATCATGTAAAAAATTGAAGTGTAATTTTTGTTAATATTATTTAGAAGACAATGAGATCCCTCATTAGTCAGGTTCTTCAGGCCATATTGATATCGCTTCATCTCGTGATCTCTTTAAGATTCTCTCGATAAAATAAGCTACCAAGCCCTAAGCCCTTATCTTCACAATTATTTTGTTTTATTTTATAAAAAAAAAACTTGAAAGACCCTTTGGCTCACTCACCTTAATATGCCAGCATTTCCACTCGCTGTCGTATCGGGCGCTTGTGGAAATGTACGTGGCCTCGGCAATATGGTTTCAGTCTGTGTTGACCATGGCGAATCTTTCCAAACATGTGGATCACCAATGTGCAAGGGATTTAGGGGGCCACCGGTAACACCAGCCGATGAGGCGCCCTTGCCATCCGATTTCTCCCATAGTTTTTTGGCAGTGGATGTTGTGATCTGCAGAATGAAAAATAGAAGAAGAAAATTAAATTTCAGAAAAATATTTAAAAAAAATCGAAGATTAAAAACATTTCAAAAAATATGATTAAATTTATATTAAATTCTGAATTAAAATTTGGTCATAAAAAGCATGACATTATGGCACGATTTATAGTCGTTGTTGTTATATTTGATTATTAGTGGTGGTTGCAACTGAATTACTTGACATTTTCCAAGTTTCCGTTTCAGTTTTAACCACGTTGTGTCATTTCCGCAATTTGAATAAAATTTCTCAACCCACAGAAAATGTATTTAAGGTGAGGGGAGAGAAGGTAAATGGGAGAATAGGGAATTCAACAGGACAGGTAAAAATCAACGCTATTCACACACACACACACACGTACACCTGAGTAGTACCCTAGTCCATTGAAAGTTAATTCCATTCCCTTCTATGCTGCCTTACTTCTGCTGCTGCTGTCATCAGTAAGTCAATCACCTCATTTAATCTGTTAGTAAGGAGAAGTGCAGGTGGGAGTGGGAGAGCGATGAATGGAAAATGGATGAACAAGTGAGTGAGGGGCTGATGATGTCTAAACGACTCATTGCAAAAATTGCAGGTTGGTTGCTCATTTTCGTTTTTCTGTCCAATCATTGCACATCCACCCAAAAAAGTTCTGTCAGTAGATTCAGCTCTTGCTTCGGGAGTCCATCATACTGGGCTAATGACATATTCTCCAGTTCAGATTTGTGAACAACAGCAACAACAAAATGCGCAAAGGGGTCGTTTTTCTTTTGTGATTTGATTTGGTTGCCATTTACACAACCGCCCGCCCAACCGGCCGACCATCCGTCATGCAGTCCCCCCGACTGTCCTCCTTTCATAATTCCAAATATATGTTGTGATGTATAGAAATCCGACTCGAAGTGTAGTCAAGAGTTATTTGCCGCCTGACCTAATTGCCAATAGTGCTACTACACTTCGGGAATACTACTGTGAATGGCTGATGAGGAGGAGGAGGATGAATGATGATGACATGTAGACAAGGAGTCAGGAAAGAAAAAAACGTGTTCAAGTATTTGGATCAGAATCTTTTGACAAAAAAAAAACAAAATCATCATCGAGAAGAGGTATGAACTGTGGAGCAATGCAGCATAGCTGTAAGGCTGGAATGGAAGCAAAGCATGCAACGCAGTCAGTTGTCAAGAAAGGAAATCACAAATTATCTAGGTTGGAGGGCAGCAATGGATTCGGAGTAGGACGATGACTAATTGGAGGAACAAACAAATCTATAGGAAAAGTAAAACTGGAACAGCAATTTTACTCGTTAAAGAATCGCAATGAAATTGGTAGATTTCTGTAAAGGATTGTTTAAGGACCAAACGAAGCGTGGATTTAAAATAAATATATATTTTGGGTGACGTAGGGGACTGCAACGGCTCTGATTGGCTTTAACATGGCGAAGCCCAGGCTTATCTTGGTCCCTCTTTTCATCATAATCATCCTATAGTAGTTAGCAGCACCAGATTCAAGCTTCACGATATACACAAGGCCACCTGGATTTCTCCTTATCAAGCAACGAGAAATCAAATTGACCCTGTTGTGATAGACGGAAGGCATTTGTCCAGTGTTTTAGACGTTCGATCGATACGAGGAGCGAATATCGATTCGGACCATTACCTTGTGGCCATTACCTTGTGGCGATCTAACACAACACGGAAACTCGACGTCGAAAAGCTGCAAACACAACAAATAGCCGAGGCCTACTCCGCTCAACTTGCCCAACGGCTTGGCGAAAGCATACTGCAGCACTTGGGTACCAAAAACCACCACCAATAAACCCATGGTGCGATCAGGAGTGTCGTAATGCTACTGTTGTGAAAAACGTATAGGGCAACCCTGCAGACAGTAGCAACACGTAATGCGATGGAGAATTACCGGGAGAAAAGGAGAGAGGAGAAACGTACTTTCAGAAAAGAAAGAAAGAACAAGAAAAACGTGTGCATGAGCAAATCGAGATGTAAAGGAGTCAGAATAATGTCCGAAAATTTTACCAACGAGTAAAACACCAAACTGAAGGCTATGGTACGGCACATCCTCCTATAGAGATGAAGAAGGAAACCTGGTGGCAGATACAGACAGCGTGTTGAGGATCTGGAAGGATCATTTTGAAAAGCTTCTGGTATCAGATAGATAGGATACCCCGGAACCAATAATAGATGACGGTATAGAGTGTATACCACCTAGCCAAGATGAGGTCAGAATAGCAATCAATCGGCTGAAGAATAATAAAGCAGCAGGTGCCGATGGGTTACAAGCCGAACTATTCAAGACTGGTGGTCAGATGCTGTCCAGGAGCATGCACCAACTTATAAGTACAATCTGGAGGAATGCATGCCCAATGATTGGAACCTCAGCATCCTGTGTTCCGAGCATATAAAAGGAGACAAGACGATATGTGCCAACTATAGAGGAATAAGTCTCCTTCCATCGCACATAATGTGTTATCCAACGTGCTGCGTGATCGACTGAAGCCAATGGTCAATGACATTATTAGACCATACCAATGCGGCTTCAGACCTGGCAAGTCCACCATTAACCAGATTTTCACTTCACGCCAAATTCTGAAAAAAAACCACGAAAAACACATCGACATATTCCACCTATTCGTCGACTATAAAGCCGCATTCGACAGCCTTATGCACTCAGAGGTGTTTAAAGCAATGTCTGCGTTTGGCATTCCTGCAAAATTAATTCGGCTATGCAGTGTAACTTTAACTGGTACAAGATTTGGAGTTAAAGTCCGAAAGGACCTCTCGGAGCCCTGCAATACCGAACGATAATTCAGACAAAGTGACAGTTTGTCGTGTGACCTTTTTATCACCCTGCTGGAAAAGGCCATACGAGAGGCAAAGATGAATAGAAATGGCACTCTGTACACCAAACAACACATGTTACTCGCCTACGCCGATGACATCGACATAATGGGTTCGAACATTGAGAGCGGTAACAGCCACCTTTGAACATATTGAGAAGGAGTCTGCCAAAGTGGGTCTGGTAGTAAACGGCGAGAAGACCAAGCTGATACCGTATCAACGCGCAAGACATCCAGTAGACTTGGACCAACTGTGGAACTTAAGAACTACAGCTGTGAGGTAGTCAAAGATTTTATATACCTTGGTACCGCCATAAATAAAACGAATGACATCAGTTTTGAAATTCGGAAAAGGATAGTGATGGCCAACCGATGCTACTATGGTCTGAGTAAGCTGTTTAGAAACAAGGCCACCTCCAGACGGACCAAACTCACACTTTACAAGACGCTGATACTACCTGTGCTGTTATATGAGTCTGAAACATGGGTACTTACGCAAGCAGATGAGGCAGCTCTTGGAGTGTTAGAGAGAAAAGTTCTACGAAAGATCTGTGGGCCGAACTGTGTTGACGGTGAATAGCGCCGTCGAATGAACCATGAGCTGTACCAGCTATTCTCGGACATTGGCATTGTTAGACGTATTGAGCTGCAGCGACTACGTTGCCTAGGTCTAGGTCATGTTGTGAGAATGGATGCAGATGCCCCAGGCCAAAAGGCATATAAAAGCGAACGAGCTGATGGCTCACGCAGAAGGGGAAGGCCACGAATAAGATGGAAAGATCAAGTCGAAGGCAACTTTGCTGCATACGTTGTTTCAAACTGGAAAAAACTGCGGAAAAGACCGACAAGCTTCGAAATCTTTTCTAAGCTCGGCTTATGGAACGATAGTTCTGTCACAAGCCAGCTAAGTAAGTAAGTATGATTTTTTTTTTTAAATATAAATTTTTTCAAAAATATTTTTCAAGGATATACCAATGCTTGGATTAGAGACGTGGATTTAAAAAAATAATATTTTAAATAGAATTAGATAATAGATGTTCGGAATTTTAAAAAATATTTTTTACGGATAAACCGAGGAGTGGAACTTTTAAAAAAATATATTTTCAAGGATTAATAAAGTCGTGGATTAAAAAATATCGGGGATATTTTGTTCAAGGATTTATAGAGGCCTATTGGAACCTTGAAAAAATATTCTTTAAATAATCCACGCCTATTTGGGGCCTTGAAAAAATATTCTATAAATAATCCACGCCTGTTGGGACCTTGAAAAAATATTCTTTAAATAAACCACGCCTATTGGGACCTTGAAAAAATATTCTTTAAATAATCCACGCCTGTTGGGACCTTGAAAAAATATTCTTTAAATAATCCACGCCTATTGGGACCTTGAAAAAATATTCTTATAATAATCCACGCCTATTAGGATATCCACGCTTGTTGGGACCTTGAAAAAATATTCTTTACATAATCCACGCTTATTGGGACCTTGAAAAAATATTCTTTAAATAATCCACGGCTGTTGGGACGTTGAAAAAATATTCTTTAAATAATCCACGCCTATTGGGACCTTGAAAAAATATTCTTTAAATAATCAACGCCTGTTGGGACCTTGAAAAAATTTTTCTTTAAGGGAACCCCCCCACATTCTCTATTTTAATTTTTCAAGATTTTCAAAGGGCTGGTAAATCAATACCAATGCTTGTTAAGGTTTGTAACTTTGCACATATATATTTGAAGATTTAAAAGAGAAGAAAAATAATTTACAAAAAATTTTTGTTATTGTTTTGTTGTTGTTTTTTGTAATTAAAGAAAAGTCCTTATTTTTGATGGCGGGCATGATAACTCCTCACTGGAACATCGGAATCCGAAAATTCCAACGGTGTTAGAAAGAGTACATGTCTGGCTCTCGTATGAACTAGGATTATTGAGTTCGCTCTAAAATTAACAAAATGTTGGACCTTTGAAAAAATATTTTTGGAAAATCGCCGATTTTTGACCAAAAACCAAGTTAAAAAATAGGGAAGATCTTCACCGATTGGCTTTATCCTAGTTCATACGAGAGCTATACACTCCCAGAGAAACGTTGCAAAATTTGGAATCGATTGGATTATTAGTTTTTGAGTTATCGTGCCCGCCATTCGCAAA